GCTGTTTTAATTTCATGTTTTATGTGTTTTATTTATTTATTTTGCTGTTTTCTGTTATTCTATTGTTTTAACTTATTTTCTGTACAGCACTTTGTTCCTGTGCCGGGTATTTTTAAGTGCTTTATAAATAAAATTGGATTGGATTGGAAACTTAATAACAGCCTGGAAACCGTGGTTACCGTCTCCAGGACGCGTCGGTGATGAAAGACGTTTCAGGGAGATGATAATAACGGCAGCGTGCTCTTATTGTGTGAGATGCAGGTGAAAGACATTTAAACTGGGCTGGATTTAGCTAAAAGAGCAGACAGAGAACGGGAATATGTTTCAACGATGCGACACACGATCAGCAGCTTCCCCACAGCAGTGTGGACAGACACACATGTATATCTCTGTAACGTTCACAGTGAAACCTGGCATCAGCAGACAGGTGGAGTACTTTTCTATGTTTGAATGTTTTCTGCTCCAACGACCCGAGCAGAGACTCAAACTCAGCCACAGCTGATCTCGGGACACGCTCACCTTCCACGCGTACGTCGGCTCCGACGGGCAGCGCAGGATTTAACCTGGCATCCTCACACCGCAGAGCCTGCACGCCGCTTCACTTATTAATCCATTAACCTTCTGCACACTGTCAGCTCACATCTCCTTCAGCCTGCAGCCCAACTTGAAAAGTCCTGACTGAGTTTACTCAGTAATTTTGTCTTGAATTTTAAACTTCCTGCCCCCCCCCCAAGGTTACTGCTATGAGAGGGAAACTGCAACCTGCCAAACGCAGGTCGATTTAGCCCGTGGCTTAAAAGTCTGTTCACAGCCAGTTTGGCACAAAACCAGCCCAGCGTGTCTGAAGGTTCCTCCCAGTAAACAGCAGAGAGGAAGAAGACGCTTGCAGAGCAGGAACCAGTTACACACAGACTTTTAAAAACACGTTCAAACGCTGCCATGTTTTAGCGTGCCACATCATACAGCTGTGCACGATCACTCTGCATTTGCAGCGGACACGTCTGCACATGTTTGGGACATTAGCTGCAGTCGCTAAAGCTAGCTGAAGTCAGATACGGCGCCGCGCGGCAGACAGATCTCAGTGTGATGGACACGCGTCGCGTCTGACCTGCAGAACTTTTTCCACCTGACGTGTCCTGATCTGCTCTGTATGCACAAAGTGGGCGTGTCGTGCTGTGATCGTGGTTTATGTAAAATGATTCGTGTTGGCGTGCTAGCAGGGTTTCATATTTCCTGTGTTTTAGGCTCAAATCTCCTTTTCTCTCACGCTCCTGAGCATAAACCCTAAAAACTCTGTTGTTCTTCTTGTTTAACCTGCACTTCTGTACTCAGTGGTGATTTTGCACTGCAGCTCCCATTAAGCTTTGGCTCATGTCACCGCGAGCGCATCGCTGCCAAGTCCGTGAATTTATTGCTGACTTCACACGAGCCGATTTTGGAAACATGTTTTTTAGCTCCTCTAAAGCCGGCTGAGATTATTCGTTGCAGTTTTCTCTTAAACGGATCAAATACGCCGTTTCAAACCTGCAGCTATGATGAATCTACCGCACGGACGAGTCGTCGACTCCTTTTGACTGAAAGTAAGAAGCTGCGC